CCAGTCCTACTGTCACGCGTCTCCTGGCCACAGGTGTCACTGACCCTTCCTTTGAGTCTGCTGCTGCGTCTGCCCTAGTTGATGAGCTTGTCGACTTTGCTGCTCACTGTCGTCTAGACTACGCTGCCAGTCTTGTTGCTGAGTCTGAGTCTGTCTGTCCTCCGTCCGTCAGGGGTGAGTGTGCTCTAGGCACGGACGTCCTTGAGGACAGACAGGAGGACCTTGAGTGTCTTGCAGCCGCTGCGCCTCATCTCGTGTCCATGATGATTGCCCCTGAGGGAGACCCGGATGCTCCAGACATCCCGACCCCGCGCTCTTACGCTGAGGCGATCGCGGGTGAGTACTCCTCCCAGTGGCAGTCAGCCATGGATGAAGAGATGAAATCCTGGAAGTCCGCTGGCACTTACGTTGACGAGGTTCCCCCACCTGGGGCGAACATCGTCAGTGGCATGTGGATTTTCAGGGTGAAGCGGCCGCCAGGTTCTCCGCCTGTCTTCAAGACTCGTTACGTTGCTCGAGGCTTCAGTCAGCGAGAGGGAGTAGACTTCTTTCAGACCTTCTCCCCCACCCCGAAGATGACCACTCTTCGGGTGCTACTGCACGTTGCTGCTCAGCGTGACTACGAGCTTCACTCTCTGGACTTCAGCACAACTTTCTTGTAGGGCAGCCTGCACGAGGAGATCTGGCTGCGCCGCCCTCCTGGCTTCACTGGGCCGTTTCCTCCTGGTACCCAATAGAGCCTCCGGCGGCCAGTCTACGGTCTCCCCCAGGCGCCATGTGAGTGGCACGACACATTGAGGACTATACTTGCGGCACATGGGTTCGCGCTCTCTACTGCTGACCCGTCGCTGTTTCTGCGCACTGACACTTCACTGCCGCCGTTCTACATCCTCGTGTACGTCGACGACTTGGTCTTCGCCATTGCGGACACTGATGCTCTTGCCCACGGGAAGCTAGAGATGCAGAAGAGACACACGTGCACAGACCTGGGTGAACTGCACAGCTACCTTGGCTTGCAGATCACCCGGGACAGAGCACGCCGCACCATCACACTGACTCAGTCACACATGGTGCAGCAGGTCCTTCAGCGCTTCGGCTTCACCTGGTCCTCGGCACAGACCACTCTTCTGGCTATAGGTCACTCGCTCTCAGCTCTGCCTTCGGATGAGTCCGTAGAGCCGAGTGGTCCTTACCCAGAGCTAGTTGGTTGCCTCATATACCTGTTGACTTGCACTCGTCCTGACCTAGCATACCCTCTTAACCTTGTGGCCCGCTACGTGGCTCGTGGCAGGCACCGAAAGGTGCACTGGGATGCTGCAAAGAGGTTATTGCGCTACCTGTGCAGTACATCAGGCATGGGGCTCGTGCTTGGAGGAGGGAGCTCAGTTGTTCTCACTGGGCACTCAGACGCCTCTTGGGTTGACGACCAGGCTACTCAGCGGTCGTCAAAGGGTTACTCCTTCAGCCTTGGCTCTGGTTCAGTCTCTTGGCGTTCTACTCGCTCGTCTTCTGTTCTCAGGTCCAGTTGTGAGGCTGAGATCTACGCCACAGCTATGGCTGCACAGGAGCTACGCTGGCTCACCTACCTGCTGACCGACTTGGGAGAGCGGCCTAGTTCTCCTCCAGTGCTGTACGTTGACAACAAGGCTGCCATTGCCTTGTGTGAGGAGCACAGACTGGAGCACAGAAAGAAGCACATCGCTCTCCGTTACTTCCTGGCTCGAGAGCTACAGCAGCGCGGTCAGCTTCGTCTGCGCTACGTGGCCACTGAGGCCAACACCGCTGATATATTCACCAAGGCACTCCAGTCTGGTGATCATTAGCGTTTCTGCACTCTGCTTGGACTTGTGCCCACGTTTCCTCACTTGCGATAGGCTTTGCCTGTACTGTGATCTCTATATATACCTACCTGCCTGTTTGCTTTGCTAGGTTGAGATCACCTTGTTGTTTGTACTGCATATATGTCTCTGCATGTGAACTGGCCTTGAGGCCCTTTGCTTGTGCTCAGTGTGTGTGGTGACGTTGTGATCCACCCTGAGCTTGTTTACCTTTCTTGACTGGTCTTGTGACCCCTTGCTCTCCCCCACTTTGCCTATGGGGGTGTGTCAAACACTGTATATGTGTTATTGTTGTGTAGGCTATAGTGGGTAAGCCTATAGGGGGTACACAACTTTTAGGGTTTCATACTTGTACTACATTGTTGCCTAGTTCATTCACTTCCCTGATTCTAACAAGCACCCATCCTTTACCAACTTCTGCAGCATAGGAATGTTCACATGGCACACCCTCTCATGCCACGTCTCCCAATCAGCTTCACCACTCCCAGATGAAGCCTTTGCCCATGCAGCTGTCGCATCCACACCAGCAAGCACCTCACCATGTGGCTGGTGTGGCTGCTGCACCTTCTTGACTGCATCCAGGGCCCCAGCAGTTGATGCAGTCTCCTCTCCTCCCGCAGCTGCTTTAGCCGCTGCCACTGCCTTTGCCGTTGCTTGTGGTTTCCCCTTCCAAGGGATGATGGGCAGCTTCCAAAGGTCCTTTAAGCAGCTGCTCTTCTCCTCCAAGTTCCACATTAGCAACTTCCCAAGCTTTGCACGGCAGCTAGTTGGGCCGAAAGTCACTTTGGCCTTGCTTTTCTGCAGCCGGCGCACGGAAAGAAGGTTAGCGGACAAACCTTCAACCAACAGCATATTCCCCAGCCCCACAAGCCCCCCATTGGCTCCCATTACCTTGGCATTCCCCACACCAATCACAGGGAGCAAAGCACCTGAAGCGGCAGCAACAAACTTTATCTTCCCAGGGGGCTTTACCTCGTCAAGCAAATCTCCCCGTGGGGTCATGTGACTTGTGCAACCTGAGTCTATCACCTAGTGGGTGAGGGGATGCATAACAACCTTCCCAACTGAACCCACATCACCCCTACTCCCTTGCACATCCTCAACCATGAGGAACATCCCAGGGTCGGCTTTCCCTTGTGCACCACCACCTTGTGCACCCGAACCTTGCACAGCGCCACCTCGTACACGTTCACCACTTGGCGGCTTCATCCCTGGAGGGGCCCATCCTTCAGGCCGGCTGAAACACTTGAACCATGGGTGTCCAGCCTTCTTGCAGTACCAGCACGCACCCTCGATTCGGGTGCTCCCCCTGCCACCAGAGCTCCCATGCCCCTCATTGTAGTCACCTCGGCCTCTCCCTCTGCCAAAGCCTCTCCCACGGCCTCGCCCTCTCCCTCTCCCTCTTCCTCTGCTGCCTCCTATAGCTCCATACCCCTCAGCAGTTTTGTTGGCAGCACCACCTCCCGTGTGGCGCCTGCGGAAGTCCTCCTGCAGAATCTGCTGCTGTAGCCACTCAGACGTCCATTTGTCCTGCTGAACGTCGAGGGTGGGGATGAGGTTGTCCCACGAGTTGTCGAGCACCGAGATGATCTTGGTGCACTGTTGCATCTGCGACACTTCGCTGCCCACTGCTGCCATCCTCGCATAGGTGTCCTTGATCTTGTCAAGGACCGGTTTCACATCATCTCCCGGTTTCATGGAGAGGGCAGCCAACTCCTTCTCCAACACAATCACCATCGGCAGCGTGTTGGGCTGAATCACGTCGCGTAGCAGCTTCCATGCCTTCGGTCCATAATCATCCAACTCAACCAAGTCCTTGATGTGCTGGAACACGTCGTTGTTGACCGATTGGAGGATAAGGTCGTACACCACCGCGCTCTTCTCAATCCACCGATCACGGGCATCTCCTCCCCCCGGCATCTTCTCCTCTCCCATTGCAATTTTCAGCAGCTTGTAGCGCTTGAAGACGCTCCGCATCCGCCCGCTCCATTCCTCATAGTTGGAGCCATCCAAAGCTTCAATCTTGGATGGTGGCGGCTCGCTCCTCTTCTCAGTTGCATCTCAACTCCTCTTCATCTCCTCTGCTCCCAATCAGAGGTTTCAGCTCCCCCCTTTGCTGGTCACAATGTAGATCCACACAATCTTCACAAGTTTCGGCGCCAACGAAATTTCGGTAGAGTTTCCCCTTAGCGAAAGTCACATCCAACCTCCAGAACTCCACTTAGGCACGCCCACAGGCCATGGAGGGTCTAGGAGGGTCTTCAAATTTCAGTAGACTCTCCACAATGTCCTTAATTAGCTCTGATACCAGTTGTTAGAGACTAAGGACGGAGTCTACGAAGATTAGGTGCCTAAAATTCTCAAAATCGTTGGCTTAGAATTCTGGACAGAAAAGTCGCGCTCACAAGAAACGTCTTCGACGAACAGTTCACAGTCAAAACTTTATGATGTAGCTCTACTCTGTGGCTACAATTCCCAAGTTGAATAATACGAAATAATGAAGTATTTCTTGAGTGATCAATTTCGGCGCACTTGGGGGTATGCTGCCATGGAATCTTAACTCAATCACTAAGTTCTCACACAAGTTCACAATTACTACACAAGAGAGTTAGAGTAGCACTAAACTAGGTAGAAGGGATGAGTAGGATGAGAGGGAAGGTCCCAAGAGAGTCCCCAACCAAGGAAACCCCATGCCACACAATTCCCTTCCCCATAGGCAACCCAACTTTGACCTTTGTCACTATCCCAACCTCCACAATCCACCTCAACCCAACTTGGCCACACTTGCCAACCTGATTTGGTTTCACCCAACCATTTGGCAGCATCTTCAGTAGAAAAGACGAATTTCCCAACCCCCAAAAGTCTGTACCCCATATTGAGTCAACCCCACAACTTCCCATAGTCACCACAACCAAATATCAAAAGCATACAAACTTCCAACGTTCGTAACTTTCTTGTTCGTGCTCCGATTGAAGCGATACTTGGTTCGTCAAAAAGCTCTTGAGCAGAGGAGACACTTCAGATATCTGCTCAAGCCAAATAACATTCACACAAACTCAGAAAATCCAAACCACATCAAACACAAATTCTTGCACACGCTCACACCACGCAACGCACGAACATGTGATAGGAGGCAGACAGACGTGAATGCAAATTATAGCATCACATAACACCCCGGAGGTAGGGGAGGGAGGGACCGGGGGAGACCAGAGACAAGGACACGGGAGGCCATGCCTCGGAGATGAGGCAGGGAGGGGTTACCAAGGCGGTGGTGCCAAAGGAGAGTCTGGTGGGACAGCAGACGACACGAGCAGGGAGCAGACTCAGGACCAGACCTGGACACTGCAGCAAATACCAGACTCGACGCAGCTACCTGACCAGACTCAGCGACCGGAGGAGACTCAGTAGTCAGTGTGTACAGGCTCGACCTCGGCCGACGGGTAAACGTGGCCAAGTGTCGGCCCGTCCGAGCACACGTAAAGTGGGTCACCCGCTGACTCGCAGGCGTGAACTGGTCAACCCCCCTATCCTGTAGATCAGCTCCACTCACCAAGTTCGTAGAGAACGAGGGGAGGTAGAGACCTGACAGGGTGCCAGAGGGGGCTGCTGGGCACGGAAAGACAGCGGAGAAGGTAGCAAGGACAGGACCCCCAGAGGGGTCCGCCAGGGAGACCGCAACCGGCCGACTAAGCGTCGTAAGCGTGGTGCGGTCGCGAAAGAAGGAGCGGGAAGCACCCGAGTCAAGGGTGAAGGTGTGTAAGGCCTGAGCCGACGTGGTACCTGAGAGAGCAGACTCACCAGCACCTGGGGCAGCAGACGCACTAGCACCTAGAGCAGCAGCCTCACCAGCACCTAGAGCAGCAGCCTCAATGCCTGGGTCAGGCGGGACACACAGGTAACAGTCACCCTCAACACTATCAGACACAGCATACATGGTAGCAAGAATAGCATCATAATCAAGATCAAAGATAGCAAACCCCCGCCCTAGACAGATCTCCCCAACGAGGGATCTCAGTGGCGTCAGGGAACTGGTGACGCCACGCGTCCGTCAGGCGGCCGAAGCAGCGCTGGGTGGAGTGCGGGCCCCTGCATTGCTCACCAGCGCGGTCGCCGGTACGGAGGACGTAGGTGCAGGGACTAGTACCCCCACCCCGCTGACGCCCAGCGTACCACTCACAAAGCTGCTGAGGGGACACGGTCTCACGACTGCGCTGCTGCTGCTGGCGCGGACCACCACCGGAGCCACTCCTCTGCCCAAAGCCGTGACCAGCTTCTCCGTTGCCTCCGCCGCCTCCGCCACCTCCGCCGCCTCCGCTCCCTCCGCCACCGCCGCCGCCTCCTCCGCCTCCACTGCTGCCACCGACACCTCCACTCCCGCCACCACTCCCACCACCACCCCCACCCCCTCCACTGCCTCCACCACCAACTCCACCGCCCCCGCCAGCCCCTCCAACGCCCCTTGCCCCCCTTGCCCTTACCGTGCGGCGTCTCCCGCTAGGGGCAGACGCAGCGCCGACCGACTCGAAGCCAACGAGGTCGGCCGCAGCAGCAGATGCAACAGAGGGCAATAGGGGGGAGGGGGAACACCCCTCAAAGACGGGAGTGCGAGGGTCACCACGAGAGGCTCCTACAGCGATTATTCTCTTCTCTGCTGCTAGGAGGCGCTCCTCGAGGAGGTCAACGGTGAGTGTGGTGGGGCAAACTGAGAAGAAGTGGTCCATGACTAAGCAAAGGGAGTCAGGGAGCCGGGTGACTATGTAGTAGAGGGTGATGTACATGGGGGGGGGTGTTCTTGGCGCAGAACTCAGCAGGAAGCGCAGCGCGGTAGCGGGTGTCACTAGTGCGAAGGTGCGTAATGAGGTCAGCGACAGTGGGAAAGGCGGCGAGGTCAGGAAAAAGGTACGGCAATATGAGGCGGCTAAGAGCAGCAGTGGCAGGGGAAGAGTAGCGTGCAACTACAGCGTCGTACAAGGTCTTAGCCCTCTTGTACTGACTAAATTGCGCACGCTCAGCGGTCGGTAAGTGGCGACGCACAACAAGACAGGCAGCAGCATCGCGTGTGGCCCACTGTGAGCGAACAGTGCTGTCAGCATCAGCAGGCGGGGCAGGAGAGGCACCAGAGGTGAGATCGAACAGGGAGAGTCCGTCTGCCCTATCGCATTGTAGGAACAGCTGGAGGTCATCGATCCAGACCTCAAAGTCAACAGCACGACCCTCAGTATCAAAGGTAAGGACACTGGGGGTAGCCATGACTGCAGTGGCCTAGCAGGGAGTGATCTCACCAGTCCGAGTAAGTAGGGCCGGGGCACGCCAGTAGGAACAATAGCGGCTCGACGGCAGGGCGGCTCGGCGGCTCGGCTGCTGGGCGGCACGGCGGCTCGGCGGCTCGGCTGCTGGGCGGCTCGGCAGCTCGGCTGTTGGGGGGCTCGGCTGCTGTGCGGCTCGGCGGCTCGGTTGCTGGGCGGCTTGGCGGCTCGACTGCTGGGCGGCTCGACGGCTCGGCTGTTAGGCGGCTCGGTTGCTGGGCGGCTGGCGGCGTGGTGGCTCGGGTGCTCAGCTGCTGGGCGGCACTGCGGTGAAGGGGCCGGTAGAGGCGATGAAGGGGCCGGTAGAGGCGGCGATGGGGCCGCGAAGAGCGGCGACGTGGCCACTAGGGGCGGCGACAGGGCCGCTAAGGGCGGCGAGGTGGCCGCGAAGGGCGGCGACGGGGCCTCCAGGGGCGGCGACGGGGCCGCTAGGGGCGGCGACAGGGCCGCAGAGGGGCCTCAAGGGGCCTAGAGGGGCAGCGATGAGGCCGCGAAGGGGCGGCGACGGGGCCGCGAAGGGGCCGCGAGGGGCCTAGAGGGGCGGCGATGGGGCCTAGAGCGGCGGCGACGGGGCCGCGAAGGGGCCGCGAGGGGCCTAGAGGGGCAGCGACGGGGCCGCTAGGGGCGGCGACGGGGCCGCGAAGGGGCCGCGAGGGGCCTAGAGGGGCGGCGTCGGGGCCTAGAGTGGCGGCGACGGGGCCGTGAAGGGGCCGCGAGGGGCCTAGAGGGGCGGCGACGGGGCTGGAAAGGACGGCGACGGGACCGCTAAGGGTGGCGCGAGGGGCCCTCTAGGAGGGCGCGACGTGAGGGGGGCCTACCGGGCGCGCCTCGGCAGGAAAAAAAAAAAAAAAGGATCGAGTTAGGTGGTGGGCCCTGAGAAGCGTTCCCACGAGGGAACCTGCTCTATACCATGTGAAGAATGAGGAATGAAATGAACTAGGAAAGAGGTGGGTACAAGTAGGAAAACCTAG